GTTCTCCTCTTCTCTTCTCTTCTCTTCTCTTCTCTTCTCTTCTCTTTCTCTCCTCTCTCTCTCTCTCACACACAGACACACACACACACACACACACACTCTTACACACTTATCTATAATAGCAAAACCTTACTGGTTACAATATATGTATGTGTTTTCTCTTTTCTCTTTCTCTCCTCTCTCTCTCTCTCTCTCTCTCTCTCTCTCTCTCACACACACACACACACACACACACACACACACACACACTGTTACACACTTATCTATAATAGCAAAACCTTACTGCTTACAATATATGTATGTGTTCTTTCTCTTCTCTTCTCTTCTCTTCTCTTCTCTTCTCTTCTCTTCTCTTCTCTTCTCTTCTCACACACTTACTCATATCTTTCTCTAGGTTGACAGGCACTAACCCAAGGGAAGGAAACCACCAAGTCTGGATCCAAAGATCCAGACTCAAAGAGTTGGGTGGGCTCCAGGACTTCTTTTATTCCCCAAAGTCCTTGTTAACTTGGCTTGTTGATTGACAAGAATGCCAGCTACTCTTTCCTTGTTGATTGACAAGTCTGGTAGCTGATGATGGGATTTGGGGAGGAGTTTCCCATTTGCTCCGGCCCACCTTCGGTCTGATTCAGGTGACATTTCTCCTCTGTTTCTTTCATGACTTAGTTCTTTCTTAAAACTACCTCGCTTAAGGGATCTTCTAGACAAGATTCCTGGCTTTTTGTCCAACCTTCTTAAGTGCCTCCTTCATCTTGAGGGATGGCAGCTTCATTCTAGCCTCCCACTTGCCCTGGGGACATCTTCTGGAAGTGTTCCCACAGAGGTACAGGTAAATTTTAGCCCCTTTCCAATTTTTATATTAATTCATTCATCAGACTGACAAATCGGCACCTTTCTGTATCCGCAAATACTATTTATATTTAGTGCAGGGGTGTCAAACTCAATTTCACTGAGGGACGCATCAGCATTGCAGTTGCCGTGGGGGGGTGGCCAGAGTGGGTGCAGCCTACTGGGTGGGCATGGATGGAGTGGGTGTGGCCTACTTGGTGGGTGTGGCCAGTTCTACATCGTTCGCATCAAGGGTGCCCAAGGGGGGCCTGGGCAGGAGTGGGACAGATCTGAGGGTCTCTGGCAGAAGGAGGTGGGACCAGGGCAAGTGCCAAGATGGCCACCACAAAATTGTACATTGGCTCCCGGCTGGCCTGGGCCAGGGCCAAGGCAGTGGGGGCCGTTCCCTCACTGTTTCCAGGATGGCTTCGTGGGCCACATGAAACCACTTCGCGGGCCGCATCCGGCCCCTGGGCCTTGTGTTTGACATGTCTGGTTTAGTGGCTTCTGCTGTTTCGTATGCAGATAATGGTGTAACCACGTCTGTCGCTCTGGTTGCAGTGAAGTCACTGAAGAAAAATGTGTTATTAAACCTCAGAAACTAACATTCTAGTATCTGCACAAATTTTCCACAAATGCATAACTGGCAAATTAAGGGGAATTTTATCAAGCAGGTGCCCCTTTATAGGTTTTGTGAGAGCGCTGATCCAGTCTCACTGCCCTGCAGAGAATACTTTTTTTCCCTACCTGGCTGGTGTTGCTCTTCAACTTTCCTGAATGTTTTGCATTCAAAGGGAGCCAGCACATTTTATCCCTGTACCTCAGATGATCTTGGTAGCCAAGGTCATATCTCAATTTCTCTACAGCACCCAGACTGTATGTTTACAACGATGCACATCACTGAAGTAAACACACAAGAAAGTCCAGTTGCCTCCTGAAAAAAGCATCTTTGGGACAGCCATGACCTGGATGACTGAGAATCTCCATAGACATTTAGCTGTGCACTTTGGGATGAACAACCTTCAAATGGTGATATGAACCGATTTCCAGAAAATATTGCAGATCACAGGAACCATTTGTGCTTCAGTTTGAGATTCAGACAGCACAGACTCATCCCCAACAGCCTGTGCCCATTTTTCAGCAGTGAAGGGATACAGGGCAACCTCCCCCCCTCCATCCTGCAGCCAAGAAGGCTCCACACACATTTGCGCTACTCAAATGACCCTGAGGACAGACAAACCTCCAAATGGTTTCGACAACTCTAAAGTAGGGGTGTTCAAACTTGGCCCTTTTATGACTCGTGGACTTCAACTCCCAGAATTCCTCAGCCAGGCATGCTGGCTGAGGAATTCTGGGAGTTGAAGTCCACGAGTCATAAAAGGGCCAGGTTTGAACACCCCTGCTCTAAAGGAATGCAAATGACCAGCTGTCTGCAAGGAGTATAAATCCTTCCATTCTCCACCATCCAGACAGAGCTGGAGATTGCTTCTTGGATGAGAAGTGAAAGGTCTTCAAAAGAAACACAAGAAAGTCCAGTTGCCTCCTGAAAAATGCACCTTTGGGACACTGAAGTAGTACAGTCTTAAGTTTCTTACAGCTATTTTGTCAATTCCTAGATGTATTAAAAGGCTCTTCTACTTTGGGATGTAGTCTCTGTAGAACAGTGGTTCTCAACCTGTGGGTCGGGACCCCATTTGGGGTCGAACAACCATTTCACGGGGGTCGCCAAACAACGCAGTCCACCATTTCCCCCCCCCCCTTTTCCTTAGCTGTGCTATCCCTTTTATTCTATTGGCTTTTGAAAGCCAATAGAATAGACTCTCTTGAATACAGTCTAATTCTATTGGCTTTCAAAAGCCAATAGGGACTGTCCAGGCTGTCTCTGCCCTGCTGAGCCCGTCAAAAGTCCCATTCTGCAAACGGTGCTGCACCAGTTGAGTAGTCCTCGACTTATGACCGGTTGAGTAGTCCTCGACTTACGACTGGTTGGGGGGGGGGTCGTGGCATTAAAAAGGTTGAGAACCACTGCTGTAGATGGTATGGAGTTTGAGGTTAGAGTTAACATCTGCTAATAGTTAATTTTTCTTCCAGTGGGTTTGACCCCATCCGTTCTTCGAGACCATTTTAAGTCAAGTTGGCGGGGAAAAAAAATCTATTAGCAAGCTCCATTCCCTAGGACTCTTATTGAAGAGCCCTTGTCTTGAAGGCGCTAGAAAGGCTTTAAAATGGTGTGTCTGGTTCGTAAATCAATCTAAGTCTGGAGCCTTCTCTCACAACTTGTGAGGTTTTTTTCTCAGTGGATAGATGCCAGCTTCCTGTCTTCTTTCCATTAATGTTTTGAAGCTTTGATGGGCCTTGACTGTGGCCTGTCTGGAGTCTCATTGGCCTCTGCTATTTGTTGGGATGTTGCAGAAACTTACTTTTATTCCAACACAAGTGTCCTTGTGAGGATACTCAGTAGAGCAGTGGTTCTCAACCTTTTTAATGCCGCGACCCCCAACCGGTCGTAAGTCAAGGACTACTCAACTGGTGCAGCACCGTTTGCAGAATGGGACTTTTGGCGGGCTCAGCAGGGCAGAGACAGCCTGGACAATTCCTATTGGCTTTTGAAAGCCAATAGAATTAGACTCTATTCAAGAGAGTCTATTCTATTGGCTTTCAAAAGCCAATAGAATAAAAGGGAGTAGCACAGCTAAGGAAAAGGGGGAAAAAAATGGCGGACTGCGTTGTTTGGCGACTCCCGTGAAATGGTCGTTCGACCCCAAATGGGGTCCCGATCCACAGGTTGAGAACCACTGCAGTAGAGGTTTGAGCCCTATGTTCCTTTTCCAGAGGGAATTTTGGAAGACTTTTATCCATTCCCTCCTGACAAGATTCCCAGGTAGACAGCATGACTTTCATCCCCTCTAACTGACCAGAATTGAGATCTGCCCATACTTGGATTGCTCAGTTTTTTGCCTCGATGCTGGTGTTTCTCAACCTTGGTAACTTTATGATATCGGGACTTCAAATCCCATGCTGGTTGAGGAATTCTGGGATTTGAAGTCCTGACATCTTAAAGTTGCCAAGATTGAGAACGCTATACATTATATTCATCTTTTGTTGTTCATGGAGATTTGTAATAATAATTACTTTCTATGTTATTGGATGATACTTTTCAAGATGTTTCTTTTTTTTTTAAATGAAGACAAAAACACAATTAAAAAGAAAACATAATATTATGAAGGAAGGAGATTAAAAAAGAAAAGAAGAAACAAAAATGTAAGATATACCTTTACAGACATGCATACATCAATAAATCAAAGCCATGATTTATTACAGTCACCCATTGTTGATCTAAATTTAATCAATTCTGTAAACTGTTCAATGAGAGTCAATTCTTAATGTCAGTTAAGGCATTAGGTTGGAAACCGGCAGATCATGAGTTCTAGTCTTGCCTGAGGCATAAAGCCGGCTGGGTAATGTTGGGCCGTTTCTCTCAGCACCTATCTCTGCAGAGAAGAGCAACAAAGATGATTAGGGGACTGGAGCCAAAAACATATGAAGAACAGTTACAGGAACGGTCCAGATTTCCTATTCTATTCTATTCTATTCTATTCTATTCTATTCTATTCTATTCTATTCTATTCTATTCTATTCTATTCTATCCTATCCTATCCTATCCTATCCATCCTATCCTATCCTATCCACTTTTATGGCTTGTTTCAGTATTGTGTGATTACATAACCACAATTTACAGTGGGTTTTTTTTTTTTTGCCAATTTCTGATCTTTTCAGCTGGTTTCCGGCAAAAAAAACCAAAAAACCCGCCCACAGGAATACATTGGTTTGTTTAATAACCACAGTGTTTGCTTAATGACTGCTGTACAAAGTCATAAAATCGGTTCCAATCACATAAGTGTCTCGACTTATGTCTGTCATGACAGGAATTCCAGGCTCCATTACAGCTGTAAGTTGAGGACTACCCGTAAAGGAGGAATGATACAGTGAATCTGAGGAGATATGCCATTTATTTTTTATTTTTAATTTTTAGATGCAGCAGATGTAGCCCGTTTGTGACAAACGGGCTATCTTATCAGATGGGCCATTAATGCCACATTTTTATATAGTACTTCTAATTCAACATGTTGGTTTTACACTTTCTAACCCAATTTTGTTTCTGTTTCTTTCAGGTCTATGTTTCTACCAAGGCTTATCAATTGAGGTAGGTCAGATTTAATGTTATTTGTGACTTGCTGTGCTAAAATCAAATTAGCTCTGCTTTATTGTGTGGAAAGAAGTTTACCCTTGATTCCATTTCTGGACACAGTGCTCAAATAAGAGACAGACTCTCTCGTTCGGTCTTTTTGTGATGTTCCTTTTTCAACAATTGCTTTTGAGAAGACTATTGAGGTGGGGGTGGGTGGGGGGAGGGACTGATGTTCCTAAATTGAAGACAGAAGGTTGTGGGAGGGGAGGGTAACCTTGAACTCTTCCTTTAAGGCAGTGGTTCTCAAGCTTTTTAATGCCACGACCCCCAACCGGTCGTAACTCGAGGACTAAACCGGTCATAAGTCGAGGACTACCCAACCGGTCGTAAGTTGAGGACTTTCCCTGCCCGGGAGCGCCGCGCATGCATGGTGCCGCCCCCTGCGCCGGCCGAGGCGTAGTTGGCAAGTGGCAGAGATGGAGCAGGCCAACCACCGGCTGGGCCACCAGCTGGCCCAGCCCAAGGAAGGTAAGGCACCCGCCGGAAAAGGGAAAAAAAAATGGCGGACAGCCTTGCTTGGCAACCCCCGTGAAATGGTCGATTGACCCCAAATGGGGTCGCGACCCATAGGTTGAGAACCGCTGCTTTAAGGATACCCTGATTTTGCTTCCCTAACTTGAGCTCCATGAAAGCATTTATGATGCAAAGACCGTTTTATTGCAATTTCACTTGTGCTGCATTGTTAGGGCAGAGTGTTAAATGTAGATTGCAACCCAAAGCACAGTGTGCACGTATGTCACCTCTCCCGTGGGAGCTGCATTGGTTGCCAATTTGCTTACGGGTGCAATTCAAGGGGCTAGTTGTCACCTTTAAAGCCCTTCAGGGCTGGGACCAGGTTATCTGAGGGACTGTCTCTTGCCGGTCACATCCACCCGACCCACTAGAGTGGGGAAGCAAGGAATGTTGTGGGTCCCGTCCCCTAAGGCAGAGGTTCCCAAACGTTTGGGCACCAGGGACCAGTTCCATGGAGAGAGGTTTTCCCACGACTGCAGGGTGCGTGGTTTTGTGTGCTGCCTGCATCCCGCAGATTAGGCTTTGCTTGTTTATGCGGACCGGTTGCTGGCATGCCGCGGACTGGTACTGGTCCACAGACCGGGGGTTGGGGACCCCTGCCCTAAGGAGATACATCTGGCGGGACCCAGAAGAAGGGCCTTCTCCGTGGTGGCTCCCTCTCTCTGGAACATCATCCCTTTGGAAATGAGGCTGCCCCCACTCTGACGCTCTTTCGGAAGGCCCTGAAGATCCGGTTCTGCCAACAGGCCTGGGGAACCCAGAATGGGATGGAGACCGCTAAATGGCTGGTATGGGTGTGTATTGTCGCTTGGATTGGGTTGGGCGGGTGGGCTATTTTTTATTTTTTATTATTTTTTATTTCTTTCATATTGTGTCGGTATTTCCTGTAAGCCGCCTTGGGTCGCCTCTGAGCCAGTAGGGGGCAATAGAAAAATTTCCAAACTAATAACTAAGTAAATAAACAGGAAGCGGTAACGGCTTTTGAACAGAATGGAATTCGTGTTGAGTTTATTCTCCGGAATTGCACAGAGGTAAAATCTTCGATTCACAACCACAGTGGACCCCAAAATTTCCATTGCTGAGCCAGGTTAAGGGAGTTGCGTACCATTTTAAGACCTTTTTGCCCTGGTTGTTAAGTGAATAGCTGCAGCTGTTAAGTGAATCGCTGCGGCTGTTAAACAAAGCTGGCTTCCCTCCTGTTGACTATGCTTGTTGCAAGCTGGCTGGGAAGGTTACAAATGCTGATCACATGACCCTGGGACATTGCAACCGTCATAAATTCATGCCAGTTGCCAAGCACCTGAATTTTGATCACATGACCCTGGGGAATTCTGCAGTGGTCATAAGTATGAAAAATAATCATGTCACTTTTTTCAGTGCCATTGTAACTTCAAACAGTCAATAAACAAATGATTGTAAGTCAAGGACTACCTGTGTAATCAAGAATATCCTTTCCCAGCAAAATCTTCAGATTTTCAGTCTCTCTAGCTAAGGTAACCTTTTTGAAGAACATTTTTTTAAAAAAATTCCTGCTACAATAGCTGTTATTTGGTTATTTTAGAGCTGATTGTAAGCAAACTGTTGTGTTTTTGTTTTTTTAACCTTATGACGTCATGGAACTGCTGGGTCTGAATTCTGTCAAGTTGCGCTCTTGAGAACTTTCCCGAACTTTTGTTCAAATTTTCACTTTTCAGATAGTTGAGCTTTTAGTGTGACTTGACTCATCATGGAGACAGCCTGACACCCATCAGTTATTATTTCAAAGCTTTCTTTCGTAGTCCAAATTATTGCTGAGTGTTAAAAACAAGAAGGAAGGAAATTGTGCTTTTTTGTCAGTTTGGCCATGCTTCTAAATACTTAAGAAAATGCATGCATCTACTGTAAAGTACTGTAAAGAATGAGTAAAGGCACATTTGAAAATTTCTGCACCCCAGAGATAATAACCAGGGGTGGATTAAATGCCTGCTGAGTTCTTATTGTTGGTGCAAATGTACAGTATTTGGGTCACCTTTTCAGGCATTCTGTGCTGGGGAAGCAGAAGGTGGATTCAATTCAGCTTCTGCAGATTGGGATTCCAAACTCGTGTGTGTGTGTGTGTGTGTGTGTGTGTACACGCATGCACAGTCTTTGAAAAATAAGTGATAGGCATAGGTTTTCTTCTATCGCTGTTTGATTAAAAAAAAAACATGTTTTATTGCCATCACAAGTTGAGCCTTAGCAGCCCTTCATGATCCCTGGAATAATGGGGTCCATAAAAAGGGTCTATGACAATTTGCCGTGGCCAGCTCACTGCGACCAACTCACCACGGTCAACTCTCTGTGGGACAACTTGCTGTGGCCAACTCATCGCAGGAAAATTCAATGCTGTATTGATGGTTTCTGTTGTGAGTCTGTGCCAGCCAGTGGACCCGGCAGCTGAGTCCAGGGAATCAGAGGAGGAGGAGGAGGGGCCTGGAGAGGAAGGCTCTGATGAGCTCCAGGACTTACAGTCTGATGAAGAGCCTGGCCCCTCCAGTAGTGCTCAGGCTGAGACCCAGCTGTGCTGGGAAGCTGAGTCAGACTCTGAGGACTCACAGCTGGAAGACATCATAGACGCTTGCAAACATAGAGAGGTAACAAGAGCAGGACAGAGGGAGGCAATGGGGCGACTCCAAGGGAGGAGGAGAAGGCATTGAGAAGCCACGCCTTGGGGCTGCATAATAAAAAGGGAAAGTGTGGGCGATACTGGTTGCTGAAGGCAACTGTTTGCAAAGGACTCAAGTTTCATGGACTCATGTTCTGTTTGTCTTGCCTGTGAACAATTCTCAGTTTGAATCGTGTTCGGTTTGCCTTGGGACAATTCTTCGTTTGAATCGTGTTCTCTTTGCCTTTGAACAATTCTCCGTTTGCATCGTGTTTTGTTTGCCTTTGCTTTTGGGACATTTTGCAGGTCTGTACCTAATTTATAAAAGGGGGTTGTTTTTCCTGTATTTCCAGCCTACTTGTTAAAGGAGAGGTTTGTCCTTGTGAGTTAACAAGGACTCACATAGGCTGGGATAGATCAATTTCATTCAGATATTTTGATAATTGGGGACCATGTTTTCATCAGAATTACTATCACTTTTGTATTTCTGGATTAACTTTATTGTTATTGGCCACAGTTCCATCAACATTAATTTTACTTTTGTATTTATTGAATTGTCCTGTGGCGAGTTGGCCATGACAAGTTAGCACTAGCAATAGCACTTAGACTTATATACCGCATCACGATGCTTTACAGCCTTCTCTAAATGGTTTATAGACTCAGCCTATTGCCCCCAACCATCTGGGTCCTCATTTTACCAACTTCAGAAGGATGATAGGCTGAGTCAATCTTGAGCGGGTGAGACTCGAACTGCCGAACTGCTGGCAGCCGGCAGTCAACAGAAGTAGCCTGCAGTACTACATTCTAACCACTGCACCACCAATGCTCTAAGTTGTCCCGTTCTACCATAGAAGTGAAGATGGAGCATTTAGCATGACACACACCCCCCCCCCCGGCTTTATGGCTGGTGGAGCAAATAGCTGGCTGCATGCTTTGCTCCTAAATGAAATGAAAAATGTGTGAATTGAGAAAAACTGGGCCATTACTAGTCATGTCTAATTTAAAGTGGGGTTGCTTGATGGAGAAACGGGGTCCTTCTCTCCCCAAAGATTTGCTGTGTATTGAATCTTATTCTATGTAACTTGTCAGAGCATACACAGTCTTATTGCGCTGAGATAACCCAGGAGTAAACACAGTAAACAGTGGTTTGTATTAAACAGTGGTTTATATTACACTGTCTACAACCATACACCAGGAACAAAATACATACACCTGGTAATACAGCAAACTCCCAACACACAGCAGTTACAGCAGGAAACGGACAAGACAGACATTCCAGCAAAAGCCTTCCCTTTTATACTCAGGCTCTTAAAGGGATACAGACCCTGCTGAGTCATTCCTATCATCTGCCTCATATTACCTTACATCAGCTGGTTAGCCTTTAAATCATCCTGACATAACTGATGGGAAGTAGTTTTGATTTACAACTGTAATTAAGCTCAGAATTATGGCCGTACATTGTGTCAATTGTTCAGCAGGTCCTGATTTTATGACTTTTTGTAGGTGTTAAATGAATCATCATGGTTGTTAAGCAAATCCATGGTTATTAAATGAACACCATGGTTGTAAAGTGAACCCAATGTTCACAATATTCATTTTTTTTTTACCAGAAATTGGAAATAAACTTTGGCTTTTGGCAAAAAAATGCCATAAATCGTGGTTATGTGATCGTGGGATGCTGCAAACAGCCATTAATGTTCTATTAATCATAGAAGAAAAATAAATGCATAGTTTATCCTTCACAGTGCCTGGTGAAACTATGTTCACGGCTACAGAAGAGCTTGATAAATATAACTTAGAATTTATTTTTTAGATCAAC